GAGCTGAGCCGCGGCGGCGTCGCCCGGGCAACCGCGACGCTCAGGCCGCGTGGGGCGGGCGGCTTCCGCAGCGGTTCCCCAGGCGCCCGCGGCCGGGTCGCCCTCTCCAGGTCTCGGTGGGTAATCTCTGGGCCATGGGCGCAGCGAGACAGGAAGCGGCCAGGAAACGGGTCACAGCTTTTGACAGCGAGATCATGCTCAGTCCTGCTCCTTCCCAAAGCCCCCAGGCCCCCAATTAACCTGGGTGAAGGCTGATTACTCCGCTTCCCTGCGTGGGCAGCCACCGGTGGCCAGGCTCTTTGTCATTAGTCATTATCTTCGGTCATACCTTTTGTGGAAGTAGCTTTCCAGCAAACTTCCCAGAGGCTTTGAGACAAGCAGCTGTTCATTATCTGTGCTTCATTAATGGTATTTTCATAACTCATCAAGCACTGTACTAGTATCTAAATCTGGGGCTGAATTAGAGTAGGGCACCGGGTTTGTCACCCAGAGGGGAAAGCAATCAAGTCAACAAATAACATAACGGACGAATGCTATATGGAGACAAACACATTAACCTTGGGAAAGAGAATTGTCAAAGCTTACCTATTGTGTTTCAAGACTAACTCAAAAAGAAACTGTTAATGAGCTCACATGTACATCAGTAGAATCCCCCCACCCACCATCATGGCCAGATTGAGGCTGTCAAATTTTTCTTTTGTACTCAAATCTCTATTTTTAGGAAATGTAACCCAGAAACCATCTTTTTCTTCTTTAAAGTCCTTCCACTAAATTTAAGTCTAGTTCTATCCACTCATTTCTAATGGCTCTTGCCTTCATCATATTATAAAGGAATTTCTCATCCTCCTGAGGCACCACGTCTATAATCCCAGCGATTTCGGAGGCCAAGGCAGGAGGATTCCAAGTTTGAGATCAACCTCAACAATTCAGCAAGATCCTATCTCAAAGTAAAAAATAAAAAGGACTGGGGATGTAACTCATTAGTAAAGTGCCTCTGGGTCCTATACCAGTACAAACAAAACAAAACCAAACCTCATTATATATGCAATTAATCATACTATGTATGAAAACCTCTGGCCTATTTTCGTCTTCATGGTACTTGATCTTTCAAATTTTTGAAATGCTTGACTCCCTTGATAATAAACTCTGCACTATCAGCTCATGTTTATTCTCCAGCTTCTTGCCTGTAACTCTAATACAGGTACCCTAAGCTCTACTGCATTTAAGTCACTATTCCTTAAACATGCAGAGGTTTTGCATGTATAGGTTACAGCTTCCTACCTAGCCCTCCTACATAATACATACTTTATTTATCCACTACCTGCTCTACACATTCTTCTGCAGAAAGGTGTTCCTTTTCCCAAAGTAGAATTAGGCTCAGCCTTTTGTACCTGTTTACTTCTACTTATTGCCACTAATCTTTATTTTCCAAGTGTGTTCCTTGGATGAATGAATACTGGCTGGGAATTATGTGTGCCCTTTCCATCTTTTCTCCAATGCTTGTCAACTGTCTGGATACACTGTAAATAACCATGCATTGCCTCACACAAATAAAAAGAAATCTTTGTTACAATGAGTTTTAACTAGGTTTATTTAATAAGCTTCATTGTAAAGTTAATTTTATTTAAACCCTCTTATTCTTAATACAAAACACCTTGAATAAGAAAAAGGCTACTTGGTAAAAGCAAAAAAATTCATTCTCTGTGGTACACAGGGGAAATCATTGCTTGCAATCCAGTTCCTAGAAAAGAAAAATACCTAGTTCCAGAGGGAAGAATGCTAAAGTGTATTTCAGTGGGCAGTAAATATATTTCATGTAAATATTCTAGCATAGTTGTCAAGCAAGTACACTTGACTCCAAGTGCCTAGGTTCAAGTCTGCCACTTCCCACTAGAGCCCTGGGCAATTTCTGTGCTTCAGTTTCTTATTTAGAAAATGAATTGAACAACACCTATAGTGTTTACCTATTAGTTTTTTAAGCACATACTTTGACCTTTATGCCATTAATAGTGAAAACTGATATAACCTATCTGTCCTTTATTTTCTGGTCTCTAATGAAACCAGAAACATACTTACAAGTTGAAAGATGCCAATAAGCCCACAAACAATTGATCTCTTCCTTCTCAAGACCAATATCTATGCAAGTAGCAAATGAGATGGGCAAATTGAATTTCAATCAAGAGGAAATGTTTCCAAACATTTGAGTAGCTCTCTTTCATTTGAGTGCATTCTTAGGTGGAGCCTAGAAATCTGCAATTTTAACTGTCATTAAAGATAATTCTCTCTGATCAGTCAGAAACACTAATTTCCACAGATGGTTCTCATGCTGGAGTGTGTTATCAGGATAATTTGTACAACTTTTTAAAAGTAAAGGTTATTGGGCTTTACTCTCAAAGATTATCATTTCAGTAATTATTTTTTAAAAGCTCATGAGTAATTTACCACCAGTTATATACTTTTATCTTCTGAAAATATTTTTAAGTGATGTCAAGTTAAATGTGACGACCAACATTTTTTGAGATATGATGACCCTTTATATAAGTTATAAGCATTGGAAACTAGGAAAAAGTGACCCAGAAAAAGAATCAACAACTTTTGTCAATAAATACTAAGAACTGAATCTCCATTTCTTGAACAATTTTCCATGAGTTTGTTTTTCAGCAAATTGATAGTTATCCTAGTATAAAAATGTATTTTAAAATAGTCATTAACGCCAAGATTATTCATGTGCGTGGGGAAAGCAAGCAATGTATACAAGTGTTATGATTATTACCAGCTGTATAATTTTAGACATGAAAACTGTTCTAAAAGTAAACAATTCAAGGTCACAGTGATGGGTAGTAGAAGTAGAAATTGCACTTCTTGACTACCCAATTCAGGTCTTCCCACTTAACCTCACCACCTTCCCTTACCTCCAGAGTTGGTAACTCTCTAACACTCTTCTTCTAATTCAACTTCAGCCAATTACTTTCTGTAAAGGGTCAGAGGGTAAATATTTCAGGCTTTGTGGGCCATAGTTTCTTTAAAACCACTCAGTTCTAACAAATGTAGCCAAAGACAACAGGTAAATGAATATGTGGTACTGTATTACAATAAAACTTTATTTTCAGAAGCAGGCAGTGGCTGGATTGGGCTGAGGTCTGTTGTCTGCCTGTCCCCGCTCTCACCAAAACACTATGAATCTTTGACTGACTTTCCTGATCAGGAGTTTAAGATTCTACAGGAGATGCCCCATTTTCAAAGTGGGATTATTACTGTGCTTCATAAAATTGAGATCAAAGGTTAAATAAAAATCATGATTTAAGTGACCAGATTGGGTACTTTAAGTGTAAAATGAAGTTTTTTCCCTTTAATATATTTAGTGTTATTTTGTATAAAGCCAGATGATGAGCTACTATACAACAGCATGTTAAAAAACATGTTTATTTTACACTATGTACAATCAGGAACATATTTAAAACCATTATCAATTAAAATAAATGAAGACCATAAATCACAATTTAGTTTGTTCTTAGTGTATATCCACAGTAAAATATAAAGAAAATATACCAAAAAGAGCCCAAAGTGTGCATTTTGCTAAAACTTGGTATATACATATTCCATTGGAAAAAAGCAATCAAAAATGACTTTAACCAAAACTAAGTTCCTTTGATGTGTAGTAACCATTATATTGTTTGTATGAGGTAGTAACTAA